CTTTTTCTTTTTTAAATAATTTTAATAAATCTTTTCTAAGAGTAGTTTTTGAAGTGAACTGTGCATTAGAATTGTGTACAACCTTAATATATTGTTGCCAATTAGGATGCTCTACAAAACTAAGTGGTTGATCTAAAGCAGCTATCATTCGCGCAACTTCCATACGATCCACTTGCAGGTCATATTTCTAAGTGGTTAGACCACCGGTTGCGCGATCAAAAGATAATTGTGTTTGGCGGAGTTTGGGTCCGCTAGATTGTCGTCTCAAGTTGTGTGGTGCCGTGAATAGTGTCATCTTGTAATTTAGATAAACAATATTTACACTAAGCTATATGTTTAGTGTTACCTTCATTATCCACCTCGTCAATTATGTCGAAGTGATCCCAAACTGTCGAGGTATGCTTGCATTTCCTCCTGAAGGTTGCAACACTTACCGACGCAAACGTAGACACAGACGCAGTCGCACTCGCCGCCGCTTCTCCACGCCCACTATTGCGACCACGACCTCCAATACGTCCACCATGGCTTGGATTAGTAGATTGCTACGTAATAAACTCATTAGTGGGAAATTGCCCTTCTTCTACATTGTGTTGGGCATCAATGGGAATACCACTATAACCAAAAGAATTCATTATAAAAAAATAAGATGAATTTGAGAGAGAGAGAGCTTTAGAAAAATTGTGAGAGAGATTGAGAGAAATTGAGAGAGATTGAGAGAGATTGAGAGAAATTGAGAGAGATTGAGAGGGATTGAGAGAGTTTGAGTGAGAAAAATGTGTGAGGGATGGGGGGTATTTATAAGGAAATTTTGGGGTTAAAAAATGATTTTTTTTTTTAAAAAAAAGGGATAAACGGCTATTTTTTTGAAATTCGGGCAGTCGGGCAAGTCGGGTTTTCGGGCAAAATTCAAAAAACTAGCCATTTTTGGGTATTCAGGCAGGTCGGGTTTTCGGGTAAAAATTCAAAAAACTAGCCGTTTTTGGGTATTCGGGCACCTCGGGCAGGCGGGAAAAATTCAGGCAAAATTAAAAAAAAAACAGTTGTTTGAGTGATTCGGGCAGTTTTTCGGGCAACGGGTTCAGGCATTTTTCGGGCAAATCGGGCACACCAAATTTTCGAGCATTTTCGGGCATTTTTCAGGTCGGGCAGTTCGGGCATGGTCGGAAAAATTCAAAATAATCCCGGCGGACGGCGGTATATAGTGGTTAGACGGCGGCGGGCAAGGGTGGACATGTCAAATTCGGGCTGCCCGAGCCCGAACCCGAAAATCTTGCTTGGGCGGGTGGGAAATGGGCTTGCCCGTCCGAGCCCGAAAAAATTCGAGTTTTTTTCGGGCTTCGGGCAACCCGCCGACCCGAAGTTCTAGCACTGCTCATCACAATGAACCACATGTCGTTTGTTGCTAGAATTTTTCTCTTCTTTTAAGAACAAACAACAAGTTAATCATCACATGAATTTTATGTTCTTCTAAATTCTTCTGTCGTATATTTTCTCCACACCTGTCCGTCCAACTTTAAAAAAAAAAAAAAAAAGGGAAAAGGTGAGATGTAATGTCGTTTATTAGCTATATTTACATGTCCTTCGGGCTAAAATATGATGTCGTTTATTAACAGTGTTACTACATGTCGTTCACATTCGTAAAGACTAAAGGCCGCAGACTGGACTAGGATTAGGATAAATAATCCTTATCCCATGTTTGGTGACAATTTTAGATTGAAAGATAGAGCTGCAAGTTTGGTTTGGGTAAACTGGTCGAACCGAGGCCCGTCACTATTGGTTCAGGCTAACCTGGCTCTAAAATTTTTAGGCTTAAGATTAGATTGGGCCGACCCTCTCTTTTAAGGCCGGGCTAACATCATATTTTTAAGGGAGAAAGAGGAAAATATGTCAAGACTTGAGATGAATTAAAATTAATAGGCCAATAGTTTACATAAGTTAATAAATAAGCCAAATTACTGTTTTCGTCCATAACTTGTCTGGTTATGAACCATAACTTGACAAGTTATTGTCCATAATTATCCATAACTTATCTGTCTATGAACCATAACTTGACAAGTTTATCCATAACTTATCTGATTATAAACCATAACTTGATAAGTTATGACCTATTAATTTTTATAACTAAAAATTAGCCTATATACTTTCTTAAGCTTTTCATATTGACCTATTTTCTACCATTTCCCTATTTTTAAAGTTTTTACCTTATAGAATTCAGACTGGGCCCACCTAAAATTTTTTAAACTTAGAGCCAAAATGGGCTGATTTTTTCTCGTTTAAGACCAAGTCGGCCCAACTTGAAATTTTCTTTTAGGACGTCGGGCCTTGATCAGGCGGCCTAAACTTACATATGTAGTGAAAGAAATATCTAAAGATTTCAAAATAGTCCAAACTAATAATCCCCTCAAAAACAAGTGGGATTTATCAGTCCAAGCTTTGGACTAAAAGCTGACCCACCCCCAACCCAGCACATCACCGCAGACCCAACGAGCACAGACCCAACGAGCCCCATCCCTGGTGAGCCCATTCCCCGGCGAGCACAGCCCCTGCGAGCCCATTCCCAAGAGGCCTTTCGGTTTGTGCCTTCCTTCGTTTCGGTGGCCGGGAAGTGAGGTCTGGTTCCCCAGCTCGGGGGCGTCTCTCTCTCTCTCTCTCTCTCTAAGATAAGCTAGGGTTCTGTGACTGCAAGTCAAGAATTTGCAATTTCACGCACGCCAACAAAAAAGAGTAAGCCTTTTCAATTGAATTAAATACAGATTCTTGAAATATTCTCCAATTGTTTTGATTCTGTAATTGAACTGCTTTTGCTTCATCATGGAAGGAACAATACGAGGTAGATAATTTTTGTTGAGAGAATCGAATCGAGCATGGACGAAACTATGAAGGAATTTCAGCAACAATTAGTCGAGCTCGAGACTGAAGCAGAGCGTCTTCTTCTTGCCCGTCACCAGGTTCCTCACCTTCTCAAAACTCTATTTTCTTAGAACCATACATTGATTTTCTTTCTTTTTTTTTTTTTTTGGAGTTTCTGAGAAAATTGATAAATACTAGAAATTTTAGGAATTTGAATGTCAAGGCTTTTTAATTTTTAAATCTTTTTTTTTTTAATAACTTCAGAGATGGGTTTGGTTTTAGAAGTAAATGGTCAAATTGTATGCTAGAAAGAGCCATGTTATGCTTTTGATTGGAATTTTGGAGTAAAAGATGGGAATCACTGATTCACAATTAGACTTTTTAAGTTTTTACAACTTTAGAAATGGGTTTTGGTTTTAGAAGTGAATTATCTAATTAAATGCTAGAAAGAGTGCATTTTATGCTTTTGAAGTAGAAAAGTTGGACTAAAGGATCAGGAGCTAAAGATTTGAAAAGAAGGAAATGAACCTAGTGACATTTCGGATTTCTAATCACTTGAACTTAGGATGCTTGTATTTTGCTGGGTTATGTGTGATTTCTTTCTTCGTGAGTAAGAAAATGTGGGGAGTTTGTGAGTTTATGGAGGAATTGCAGCTAGTTGAAAATGATAAAGGGAGGAATGGGAATAGAGAAGCCCTCACAGCTCTGAGGAAAAGGGCTAGAACGACAAAGACTAGTATTCTGTCACCCTTTGAGTCAATAATGAGGGAGATTGGGGGACCGGAATCGAGACCTTTAGTTAAGGAAGTATGTTCAACTTGTGGCAACCATGACTCCAGTGAACGAACATGGATGATGTTCCCGGGAACTGATGTCTTTGCCAGGATTCCCTTTCATGCTGCTCATACCATCTTGGAGACAGGTCATTCCTAGAGCGCCTTTGTCTAATGCAGTTATATGGGTGAACTTTATGAACATATTTAATAAGTAAAATACTAATCACATGTCAAATTTGGTGTTATTGAAATTAGTGTTTGAAGAATATCAGCAGCAACAGGAGAAATAAAAAATAAACAAAGTAAAGAGTAGTGTATGAAGAGATTTGATACTATTGGCCATTTATGGAAATTGAGTACCAAAGGTCCAAAACTTGCTTTGTGTTATAGTGAATGAGTAGTTACTTATGTCTTACATGAAAACATATCTGTGTTCTTTCAATAAAACGATCAAATTCATTAGTCACTCATTACCTAATTGTTGCACAAATTGTACTCCAAACAATCTTTATTTTCAAGAAGTTAGATGGTATCTTACTGGAAAACATTTTTTGGTGGTAATGATGTCTTCAGCCTTAAATTGGTGGTAAAGGATAGTTTATGTGGTTACTGTTTCTTAGGCTCAAAACTAACCAATTAGGAAGATATTTCTAACTCTTCTTTGAGATGGCTTTTGTTCATGTGTGCTAGTTAATGGTTTTAGTGAAATTGGTAAACAATGTAAAGAATTTAATTGAGTAAAAGAACTCGTCTTCCTCACTCTTCTGTTCATTTAACAAAAAAAACCAACTTCCCCTTTATGAGATACACTTATTAGTGACCAATTTGATCATATTGAACTCGCAACCAAGCAATAAGAGTAAAAAGGAGGAAACTTTCTCAAAGCTTCTGGTGTTATTCTAACACTATTACTGTTTGAAGTTGATCAGTCATCAAATAGATCAAAAAGCTTAAGTAACGTAGCGTGAATCATTGTCCTCTTGGCTTAGTTATGTGGTTTATATCTCTATTACAGGTTCTTAGTATGCTGTTGTTTTCCTGATCTCAAATTTGTTTGTATCTTGTCCGCCTTTAATGCAGATCAAGAACGGCTCGACTTTGAAGCTAAGAACCTCCAAACCTATGTGAAGGATAAGTCCCTTTTGATATCAGAAAGAGGTGCACTTGCTGACAAGATTAGTCCAGGGGTACTCAAATCTCTCGTAACTCTGACGGACAAGAGAAAGTAAGTTATAATCTTACTACAATCTCACTATCATTTCCAGCCAAGTAGAAAGGAATTAATAACCTCAACCTTTTTGTCTTTCTGGCTAGCGTTAGTAACATTTGCATGTGCATGACTGTTATTTGTAGTTTTCTTTCCTTTCCTCCAGTTCCGATCTACGGCCACTCGTAATCAAGTTTTTGCATTATGCGCCCTTCTCTAACTCAGTTAAGATGTTTACCCCTCATAGCCATTAAAGTCGAGACCCTTTGTTTTCAGTACCTATTGCATTGATGTATCACGTATGTGTTCCGCAGGAAGTTTTTATGCTTGAGTTAATATGTCAAAAATTTCTATTGAGCTGTTTTGGGACCACAATTAATATCATTTGGCCTCTTGCTATTCTCTTTCCTTCCCTAGCTCTCTACCCACCCCTCCAATCCCCAACCCCACACCTCATTCAGAGAAAAGGGTTGGTGTCAGTTTTTAGGACCATTTAGTTCTTTGTGTTATTCACTGGCGATGTGGAAATTTCCTCGGCACCTTTACACTTGAAGCCAAAAGCAACGCCGTTGTCTCCTTGCTTCTGTGGAACTATCAATCCTCTATCAATGATTTCCACAAGGTTTGGATGTTTTAACCTGCCCTTTATTTTACCTGGTTACAGAAGATTGATGGGCTTTGAAATTGCAACAATACGCTTATACATGTGCCTAAGGAAGGACGGTTTTTTAATTTTGTCTCATCCATTAAAGACAAATGACAATGTTAAGGTCGGAGCTGTAGGTGTAACGTTGGAGGTGGATTATTGTTTGTATAGCCAGAAATTGACCATGTCTTTTGCTAGTACTTTTACCCACATGTTGGAAAAATAATATTTGAGCAAAAACAAAAAAAATGTTAGAAAAATAATGTGGGCTCCTTTTTTTTTCCCCCATGTTTTTGCAGTTAGAGGTTTTACATTTTTAATGAAGTCAAAACTCATCTGGTCAACTGGGGAGATGAGGAATCCAGAAATATATGGAAGAGTGAGAGAGACCTATGCAGTCCATAGTGGATGAGCTTCACCTACTTTGTCCAACAATATTACAATGTGACTTATTTTTCTCTATGAGGTATTAATTTGAGGCAGTAGTTTTGGAAAGTTGAACTCCACTTTATGGTAGAAATCTTTTGAGTGCGTTTGGAATTAATTTTAAAATGATTTTATTTTTAATAAAAAGTAAAAATGAGATTTTTTTGAGAATCATTCTGAGATCGATTCTGAAATTACGTTTGGTTGGTTTTGTAAGAGATTGTTTTGATTACAATAAAAAAGTAAAATCGTGTTTATTAATTAATATATTATAATATTATTGATAAGTACTAAAAAAATAAAAACAGAAAAGTGAAAACAATTCTCAACTGTTTTTTAATTCCTTAACAAAAATCATTCTTACTGTTTTCGTTTTCATTTTTGTTTTTAAAATATTTGTTAAACAAACGCCGTTTCGTTTTCATTTTCATTTTTATTTTCAAAACATTTGTTAAACAAACGTCGTTTCGTTTTCGTTTTCATTTTTGTTTTCAAAACATTTATATGTGCAAATCGTTTTTAAAAACGGTTCTAAACGCACACTCTGTAACTTAGACGATTCGTAGCCAATAAAAAAATATGTGTATTGCCAAGGAGAACTTTTATCAAGACGATTTTACCAATTTGTCCCAGTTTAATGTGAGAATTTCTTTACTTTGTACGTGATGAGCCCGTTGATTAGCAAAGACTCAAGATGGGAAAATCCTCTGTGGAACACCCTTTCTCCAAAAAATGGGAGAGAGAAAAGAAAGAGCAAATAAAAGTGTACTTGATGCCCCAAAAGCTAACAACTTTTTGTTTTGTTTTGTTTTGCCCGAGCTATATAACTCAAAACAAGTTAACAAATCACGGTTTAACAAAACATGGGTGTACATCGACTTGTCACCCACGAAGTTCAATTTTCTTGCAACAATGTGGGGCTCCAAGATCTAATCATACATTGTATATTAAAATCTTGGTGGTTGTGTCAAAGTCATGAAAAGCTTCTTCCTTCTTTTTTTTTTTTTTTTTTTCCTCTCTTGCTCTTCAAGCCTTGCGTTGTTATTATTATTATTATTATATATAGATAGTGTAGTATCTTTTTTGTCAGCTATATATAACTTCTAGAAAAAACATGAAATTTAGCAAAATCTTTATCAACTTGAACAAAGGACCCTCCACTCCACCACACCTCTCTAAACACACTAAGAATTCATTTATTTTATCGATTTGAATTTAAATTTTAAATTTTATTATAGTAAAAAAAATTTAAAAATAATTATATTTTTTTTATTATAATAAAAAATTATCAAATAAAATCACATTTTAACTCAAATTAATAAACTAAAAACTGTAATTTAGTTTTCTTTTCTCCATCCCACTTATTACCTGAAACCTTATTTTCCCATTATTAAATTAAATCTTTAGAGAATTGAACTTTCCCCCGGAAAAAAAAAAAAGAATTATTAAAATAACAAGAGAAAATGATTAATGTCTCTGACCAAATTGTGGACATTCCGTACAAGAGAGTCAACGTCCGTGTCAGCCTTTTCCCACCAAATATGCCACCAGACTGTACTCACTGCACTCACTTTGATCAGACTCGGTCCTCTGCCCCCTCTCTTCTTCATTCCTAATCCCGTCCGGCGGTTCCACTGTAAATCCTGCTCTTCTCCATTCGATCACCGACACGTGTCCGCCTAGGCATTTCCGTAGTTTTAACAACCTTTGCAGGGCAATCACGGGATCTTGGCCTATCAATATGCCAGGACAGTTGTCGTGAATTGTGGGCGAGTAGACGTGAAAGTGGTGATAGACGCGAGTGAGGAATTGAGGAGTGGGGTGATATGGACAAACGACTTGCAACACCGAATAATACATCGTACGATCTGGATACGATCATCTGTTCTCCTGTCTTTTCCATGTTTTTACCCTTTTACATCTCTTCTTTCACTTAATTTTCACACTATGCCCCTTTCAGTCCCACCATTTACTACTTGAGAGCCAGAAGAATAGGTATTTTTTTAAAAAAAAAAATTTATCAAAAAAAAGAAAACGGAAAAAAAAGTGTTCGATGGTTTTTTATTTTATTTTCTTTTCTTTTATTACTAGAGTAAGGAACAATTCTGCAGCAGCCAGCCATTGAACCAAAAGCAATACTATAACAGCAAGGTTGTCAGATTATTACAGATTTTCTATCAAATTTGAATGATTATGATATAATTGACACATTTTGAAATAGAAACTACTAATCTCGTTATTGAAACAAAATATGTTTCTTATTATTATTCAAATTTATTCTTCTTTCCTTATTTGTTAATTTTTACTCGTACTATTTTATTATGTATCAAAGCTTCAAAACAGAGCTCGTTTCGTTCGTGGATTAGAATTATGAGATTAAAATAATTTTTCATTTACGTGCGTTTTTTTGAGAAAAAATACTGTAGCGAATCATGAACCATGATTCGAATCAGAGAACGAATCCTCCAACCAAACGGGCTCTAATACTCTCTGGATCGTGAATATTACATTATAATTATTCTAAAAATATATTATCAAATTTGGTAAAATAAGGAGACGTTTGGTTTATGGATTAGAATCATGAGATTATAATCATTTTTTATTTACGTGTATTTTTTATGAGAAAAAATATTGTAACTAATCACGAATCATGATTTAAATCGGAGTATGAATCTCCCAACCAAACAACTCTGACGGTCGATAAATGGACATTGCTAATAACATAAGTTCATGTATCTTACTTTCGATTGAAGGACTTCCTGGCTGGGTGATGGAACCACTCATGACTCTTTTTTCTTTTTTTTTTTTTTTATCATTTTCTTTTTCCTCTTTATTTTTCAGATCACAAAAGTCTATAACCACAAACAACCATTCTCATATGCTGACCTGATATATTATGCCATATTTTTCCTCGACAGAAGCAACGGAATGTTCCCCTAGTAATTTGGCATCAATTCTAAGGTCTAAAGAAAGGAATATTTTTTACAGTAACCCTTTAGCGAGGGACATTAATCCGCCGCTGAAAATCTGTTTAGAAATTAACTAACAATATATAAATATGTCATATTTACCAATTTTTTGAAAAAGAAAAAAAAAGGCGTGTCATTCCAAGTGTTTGATAGTTTTTTTTTCCTTTTTGGGAAATTTTGTGTTTATGCTTGGGAATATGCTAATATATGTTGCAATCCAAAGTTTTTCTCACTTACTTGTGTTTTATTTAGTCATACGAACTAATAATAATAATGACAACAACAATGGGACATTTAGGAGAGGTTTGTTTTTTATATTCGTTTATGATTCTGAATCATAATTTATAGTTTTTTACAGTGTTTTTCTCTCATAAAAAATATACGTAAAACGAGAATGATTGTGAATACATGAACTAAACGCCCTCTTAATTTATGAATTTAAAATTATGATTTAAAATCAAAATTTAAAATTATTCTCAATTTACGTGTATTTTTATGAGAAAAAAAAACTGTAATAAATTACGAACTGTGATCCAAACCATAATATGAATCTTGCTCTAAACGCACCCAATTGTGCAATGTGAGTCATATGGCAAGCTTTTCATGCCTACTTTTTTCTTTCTTTTATCATTTCATTCATGCAAAATAATTATTAAAACCCGAGGACGAGGACTTTGATGACAACGAGTTAGAAATTTATTCCTCAAGTGTCGTTTTCAAAGTAAATAAATAATCAATAATAAAAACAGCTAATTCTACCAGAGAAATTAATGGAACTGTAAAAACAGGTGAAGTTGACGAGTAAAAAATAAAATAAAATAAGATAAATTTTTAAAAAAAAAAAGAAGAAAGAAAGTCACTCAAAAAGCCATGATGATCTGGTAGCTGGAACTAAGGCTGATGAAACTAGACCAGGCAAGCAAAACAGCTAGTGGGGCCCAATATTTTTAAATACCCCCAACCGCGTGGGCAACAGAGATAGAGGAGAGAGACTTGACGAAAATCTCTCTAATCTCTATGACTAGTCCTAACTGAGTCCGACTAGGAAAGAAAGGAAAAAAAACTGACTACGTTTGGAATTAATTTTCAAATAATTTTATTTTTAATAAAAATATTTTAAAAATTATTTTAAGGACAATTTTAAAATTATATTTAATTAATACTATAAGAAATTATTTTGAATATAATAAAAAAATAAATATTTTGAGTATTAAAAAAAATAAAATCATATTTATTTATTAATATATTATAAATTTTTTGATAAGTATTAAAAAATAAAAATGAAAAGTGAAAACATATTTTAACTATTTTTTAATTTTTTCACAATTATTATTCTTATTGTTTTTATTTTTATTTTTAAAATATTTACTAAATAAATATCATTTTTTTTTATTTTTTTTTTTTAAATACGTAAAAATCGTTTTTAAAAACGGTTCAAACACGCATTCATATTCCCATTTTCTGATGGCTTTCAATTGTAAATATCTCACCATTCCCAGAGCAAAATTGTCATCCCAAAAATTCGCACTGTTCACTGTAGTAGAAGCAAGTGAACTCCAATAAACTCTCTCTGCACTAGCCGCCTCATAACTCAGTTTCTTCCCCAGTGATACTTATCCCACACACACACACACACACACACAAAAAAGAAAAGAACGTAGAGAGAGAAACTTCCCAAAAGAAACAGCTGTTAGAAAGAGAAAGTGAGTTAGAGAGAGAGAATGTACAAGGCATTGTCTCCATGAAGAGATCATATTATTCATTTTTAGTCAGCCCAAAGTCTTATTGAACTCTCTCTCTCTCTCTCTCTCTCTCTCTCTCTCTCTCTCCCTCAACGCTACCAACAATATTCCATAGGTGAGAAGCTCAAACAATTTGCTTATGGATAAAACTTCACCGACACCTTTCTTTTTCCTTCCTTATATAATTTATTTATTTTTCTGTTGTAATTATAGTTATAAATATCACATGTGAGTGTTTGTAATTTGCCTTTGGTATAGGTTTTAATTTGGCAAAAACGACGTCGTAATTTAGAGGTGCGGAGGAGGAGAAATGCTAGACTACGAATGGGGGAACCCGTCGGCGATCATGCTCGCCGGGGAAGAGCCGGAGCAGCATCCCGGATCCGACCCAACCCGACAGAACATTATCGAACACTACGCCTCCGCTCAAGCCGCCTTCAACGACCACAACGCCCACTTTCTCACTCCTCATCTTCAAAGTCATAATCACAATCATCATCATCATCACCATCATCATGAGCACGCCAACAACAACGACAACAATCCCTCGGCCTTCCCTCACCACCACTTCGGTATCGCCACCGCTCACCACCACACCCAAGCGCAGCCCCAGCAGCAACAACTCCACGTCCACCACCACTCCTCACTGTACGACGTTCCACGCGCCTACGCCAGCGCGTCCTCTTACGCGCCGGCGTCGATTCTCTCCCTCGATCCCATCACCGCCGGAGGAGGCGGCGGAGGGGGAGGAGGATTGGGTGTCCCGTTCATGCTGGTGCCGAAGAGCGAGGATCATCAGAGGGCGGCTGTGGACTTCTCGTCCAGAATCGGGCTCAATTTGGGAGGGAGAACATACTTCTCGTCGGAGGACGACTTCATGAGCCGGCTGTACCGGCGGCCGAGGGCGTTGGAGGCAGGGTCAACGTCTGCGAACTCGCCGCGGTGCCAGGCGGAGGGCTGCAATGCCGATCTCTCCCACGCCAAGCACTACCACCGCCGCCACAAGGTCTGCGAGTTCCACTCCAAGGCCTCCACCGTCGTCGCCGCCGGCTTGACCCAGCGATTCTGCCAACAGTGCAGCAGGTTCGTTAATTAATCAATTAATTCGTATTTAATCGTCCGCATTTTCACTAATCACCGTTTTGAAATTACCAAAATGTCCCTTGCCCCCTCGCTGTTTTCCCAAAACCCCAATCATTGGTTAAAATCCCGATGGGTTTGCCTAATTGGCTAATTAGAGACTTCCCGGCCAAAATCTTTTCTTTTTCTGTCCTTTTTTTGGTTGGTCAAAATGACCCTCCGTGAGTTGTGGTATTTTCGGTTCTTGCCTAGCTAGCTGCTCCCTAAGACAGCTCATGAACGTGGTGGCTGTCGCTGTTGGTTTTCCGGAGATACTTGGCCTGTCGGAATGACGAGAATGTCCCCGCAGTTGAATTATCGGCCCAATGATTGGCTCTCTCCCGTACATGTGGAAATCCCGAGGGCATTTGCGTCCGTGAATTTTTCGAAAATTACTTTTTTTTTTTTTTATTTACATCGCCACTCTCCGTTTACGTACTGTTTTCTTTTGCTTCATATGGTAATGTTAAAACAGTAGTAGTGTATAGTGTCACTAATAATATCTGCATTAATAAAAATTCCTTCTTGGTAAATTATTTGTTTTTGTTTTTTTTTTTCCTTTTTTGTCATTCTTCTTTTTTGCAGATTCCACCTCCTCTCTGAGTTTGACAATGGAAAACGTAGTTGCCGGAAAAGGTTGGCCGATCACAACCGTCGCAGGCGAAAAACTCAGCAGCCAAACCAACAAGTTCAAAATCCCAAGTCCTTGCAACCTGAAAATGCCCAGAATCCATCTTCAGATAACGTTGCAAGTAAGTCATAATCAGTAGTACATAATATATCTCAATCGGTTCCTTTTTATTTTTGTTTAAAACACGTTTTAGCTAGGTTTTATATTTTGCATTATATCAAGTACGTACCAAGAATTTGTCACAGAAAAATGAGTCCAAAATTTGATCTTTTAACATGTTGGAATATTGGAGTTCCAAGTGTTAATGCATTATAATTAAATTCACGTGTTATTCGGAACATGTACTTGTACGGAAAATGACTTGAATGAGAAAGGTCGAGTTGGAAACTGAATTATGATTCTTTTTTTCGGAATTTATAATGTAGGGTCGCCACCGGATTCTGGAGCTCAGTCGTCGTCGTCGGTGACAGTGGCAGTGTCGCCGCCGCGAATGTCGTTAGATTGTTTCAGGCAAAGATCGTATCAAACTACTACTGCTTCTTCAGGATCATCAAGCTCACTGTTTTTCTCAAGTGGGTAAAAAGGGAAAAAAAATCACATCTACCGAGGGATGTCTTAGGTTTATGGGGGAGGGTTTAATTAGCAATAACATATAGTGATGAAGTAATATCTAGTTGTTAATTTTTCTTTAAATTTTAGTTTGAGTTTTAATTATGGTGATCAAGCTTAGCTTCTTCTTCTTCTTTTAACTTTTTTTTTTTATTTTTTTTTATTTGAGGTCATGAGATGAAATTCCAATTGTTGGTGGGATTTTCTGTTCTTTTTATGCAAGGGTTAATGTATGTTGGGGGAAAGTGGATGGTGAAATTGAACTTGTTGGGAAAATTTGGAACTTTTCCAATGAAGGGCACTGTTTGGTTTCAGAGAACGTTATGGAAGGGACGGGTGGTTCAAGGTTTACATTCATTTTAGGTATTGCCATTATTTTACTTTTTTTTGTCTGGTGCTGGAATTTTCCCGGAAAATGCACTGAACACTGAACATGTAGAAAACCGATTTTCAAAAAAAAAAAAAAAAAAAAAAAAAAAATTCTATTTTTATTTAAGGAATGATATTTGTTAAAGACAAGGATAGCTGTCTCCTAAATGGAGGCTGTCTAAGCCAAAGTTTTAATTATTTCGCCCTCAAATTAAAAATCAATCACATATATACCTGAAAATTCTCTCTCTCTCACACACACACACACACACACACACATTATCATATGCAATATCCTTTTTTGATTATTTCGCCCTCAAAGTATATATAGACTCGCCGGCTGGATCTAAGTTGGATTTTTCATTTTTTCCGTTTTGTGAGTCTTTTTTCCTTTCTTTTTTTCCTTTTCCTTCATCAAGTTTTAGATGGCTTTTTTCTGTGTAACATGCGTTGGATATTGGGTAATCTTAATAAATATCCTTTAAAAGTACATGAGTCATGATTTTTACTTTTTATTTTTAATTCATAACTTTTTTTAGTCAAATAATCACACTAACAAAAGGATATTTATCAAGAATAAAGGATAAAAGTTTAGACTCACACACTCTTAAAAATGAATTCTCTATTTTTTCTTGGATTATATTTCTAGCAATATGTCAATTAATTAGAAGAGTAGAGTCACTTAAACCGAATATGGAACACTGATAGCAATAATTAATCTATGAAGAAAATTAAAAGAAATTTAGAGGATTATTCTCATTGTGCTCCCTCAACTTTATGATCATTCTCACTTTGCTTTCTAAGTTTTAAAAACTCACTTTGACTCTTGAATTTTGAATTTGTCTCATTTAAGCCTTTTTGTAAGAATTTATGTTAAAATCATATGAAAAATGGGGTTAAATGTGACTATATGATTTTTATTTATTGATTTTAACATAAATTCAAATAAAAAAACCACATAACTGCATTACTCTCTTTGTTTTCTACTTTAATAGAAATTATTATAGAAAGAGTTAAGTGAGAATAATTCAAAATTAAAACAAAATGAGAGTTTATAAACCTCGAGAGGTAAACGGAAGATGACACTAAAGTTCAAGGCATGCCAATAATTATAATCTAAATTTATAATACAAAAAGATCATATTATAATGATACATGCACTAATTTAATTTTTGATCGTTAGGCTGTTGTGTTTATTTCTTCCCTATCCTACTTTATAATCCTACGTAACTACTATAAAATTGTCAAATCTTAGTAAAGATATCAGAATTCGCAATTGATATGATAAAATGATTAATTTTATAAATGTCTCTAAATCATGCACTCTAATTCAACCTGCTTTCTAAACTTTGAAAGTGGTTTAATATTTCACTCTTGATCAATTACATAAAATTGTTTAAAACAAACCTTTCCTCTTTAATACTATCAAAATGTGCGACACTATTTATAATTTCATTATTTTAAGTCGACTTGCCTCTGGAATCATTGATTTTATATCGATAAAATTGAATGATATAATGTCGTTTAAGGTGAAATGAATTGGTATTTTAATAATTCAAGTGGCATGTTGAATTAGAATATACGATTCAAAAGCATTTATAAAATTAGTCTTTAAATAAGGGTAATATAAAGGTTAATTGTGCTGCAACTCTCCTCATAGATATATAAAAGGTTAATTGAGTGTATAATGTAGCTTTGATCACCTTAGAAAAAAAAAATGTAGCTTCTATGCTAGAGAATCATTTGAGTACAATGCAATTGCTAGTTAAATTATGATTAATAGATAAGATTAAAAAAAATAGAAAGAGAAGAAGGGCAAATACAGTATGAAGTTGAAGGAAACACGGCAGGCAAAAATCCGGTGTCCATTCAAAAAAGATAATGGTGGGGCCCAACAAATCTGGCTCAAAAAACTAGTTCACACAATCTTATAATATATATAAAGTCACAATATTTAAATTCTGTCCCAGTTGATAATTACAAGTATGATGATGAGATCTTATACTTGTTTTCTTCTTGTTTCTTAATGAGTTGTAATTATTGATCTAGCACTGCCCATCTTATTCACTTGAAATATTGGAATTTGGAAGTGAAGTGACTTTTCGATTTAGGGCTTCCTTTTACCAACGTATGGAAACCTCCTTGCACTTTCCTGGAAATTTAAAGTGGACCCATCGTTTTGTTTTCTCTCTTTATTAATTAAGAAGCAAGTGGTACTATTAATTTGTTTATTTGTTCAGGTAAAGCCTAAATTTGTTTGGTTCCAATGATGAAAAAGGCTGAATACAAACAAACTAAAAAGGAGTTTTGAGAAAAAAAAAAGTGAAGAATTAGGAAAAGGAAAACCACATAATTATTAGTGTTAAGTACTAGCTAGTACGTGCATGGACTTTGAAGACTGTCTGTGTTGCCATTTTGTTTAGCCTTCACACCTGATTCTGGTTGCTTTGAACCTCTTTATTTCATTTTATTTTATTTTTTTATGGGATAAAACTCTTTATAATTAGTATATACCCAGCAGATTAGTATATACCGGTTTTGAAGAATGTTCTGATACGTACTTCACGTGCCAAAATTAATAGCAAGTACGGGGCCGGAAATTTATATAAGTGGGGGCTTAATTACGTTTGGTAGGAGGATTCAAACCATGTGATTCGAAATATTTTCGATTTACGTGAATTTTTTGTGAGAGAAAATACTGTAGCGAACCACGAATCATGATTCGAATCAGGGAACGAATCCCTCTGCTAAACATTTAAATGAGGACTATATAATTAATTTTATAAATTTTAGTGGGAGCTTACCATAACACATTTCTTATTTATGTATACATTTTTAAGGAAACAAAATAGTTGAGTGAGGGCTTAAGCCCCCCTCTGCGTTATACATGGTTCCGTGCCTGGTTAGGTCCATTACAAAATTCATTAATAGTAAGATCAACAAGCATAAATACTGTTTTTTTTTTCTTAAATACTATATTTTAATATTTGCATTTCAACAGTGTACAAATTAATCAGTTAGGATATACTTAATTATCTTATAATAAATACTAATTCTAAAAGCCTAAATTATCAGAAAGTGGGATGTCGTTGCTTTATTTTTTTTTCCTGTATATTTATGTCCTTACGTTGTTCTTATTAACAACACATTTGCAAACCACAACATCATGAGAAATATTTTCACCTTCAGGAGATAATGTTACTGTACATGTATTTAATTATATGTTTTACTTCAGAATATTTATTTATTTATATTTTTGCTTGATTGATTTTTTGAAAAGAGTTGCCTTTTGCTCAGATCATTATTTGAAAACAGTGATTTATATAATGTTCATCCATGCATGGCCCACTTATGTTGGTTGGGGGGTGGCATCAGCTCAAAATTATTAATCAAACCAATTACTTTTACCAAAATCAAAGGCCACTATCTCTTACTTTTAGTAATAATTAAAGAAAACTCATAGAGTGTGCATATATATTCACACTTGCAGAGTTAAAATGTTTGTAGAGATGTCACTTTTATTGTACCTTTGGCTTCAATTAAGTTTTCTGTCTCATTATCCCATGTCAAAGGGAATGGAAGGTTAAATTTATTGAAAGCTTTAGCATTCTTTCAAATTCAGTGGGGGGCAATGCTTCATTTATTAGCAAGTTTTTTTTTTTTTTATTTTTTTTTATTTTTATGTGCATTTTATATGCCTATGCATGTGCTTTAATGAATTAAAATTAACATAAATGGGGCAAACTTTAGCTCAACTTTTGATGGGCAATTTTTTAATGAGAGTTTCATCAATTGGTAGAAGAGGGTTTTTGAGATGATGAATTGATCAAATGTCCGAACAATCAAAATTTTAAAGCCCTTCATGCACAATATAAACTCTTGTGAAAGTGGTCCAAAACCATGTTCGCTTGCGTAAATATCTCTCTTTCTATATACAAGAAGTGCATGGTAAAAGTGGTCCAAACTTGGAAGGAATTGAAACGGAACCTCTTTGTTAGAGAGAAAAAGAATGAAAAGTGGGTACTTTGTTTCATTAGATAAGTGCAACATTTCATTCAGCTCCCCAATCTCCAGTTTTGTGGGCCCCTATTGTTTTTTTCCACTTACCTCATTTGTCTTTGATTCTTGAATTTTTATTTGAAAAAAAAAAATCATATTCTAGATGTAGATTATATCGTGAATTATTATTTTGAGGTCTAATTCATGACGTCAATATTACAATCCTTGTTTCATTACGCACTTTCAACGTTTTAACTCGTAGGTATATATATCTTTTTTCTTTTTTTTTTTTTAACATGCGTATTAGAATCTTACAGAGGAATATAGTCACAAATAAAAATACAAGATTTATAATAGTTTGCGTTCACATCCACTTTCAATTTTGCATTAATTTACTATAATAAAAAAGACGAATATAAGAGAAATCGCACACCTTTCAAATTTATTTTAGTCGTGTTTGGAATTGATCCCGTTTTTATTTTTCACGTTTTTTGAGAAAGAAAAAATAAAAACGTTTTCAAAACGGCGTTTGACGCAATAAAGACAAAAAAGGAAATGAAAATGATTTTTTAGTTTAATGTAAAATGAGAGAAAAATGAAAAACGACTTTTAGTCGTTTTTCATTTTTTATTTTCGTTTTCTCCTCTCTCGAGCAAAGAGAGAGAGAGAGAGACACACATTAATAGGTTTTTTATACTGAAAATAATCTCTTGATAAAACTATTAAACACATTTTTAAAAATGATTTCTGTCTAAGATTGAAAACGTTTTCATTTTCATACAAAAAATAATATCATTTTGGAACGAGTTCCAAACGCGCTCTTTATTTTCCTCAACATCTCTTAGCTTTAAAAACGGTGCCAAACAATGACTAAGCTCTAACAACTTAATACTCCCAACAAAATAGAAGGTCGCATCACAGCATTAACTTGTATCATTATTCATGATATTAAGATGCAATGAAATTTTATCGAAAGTAATCGA